ACAAAATTATTTCATGAATAAATATTGTTGACTAACAAGATGTTAAAATGTTAAATTATTTAATAGATATATATATATATTATAGATGATTGAAATTTTGTTATTTAATCTAGGTATTTATTAACAACTTGACTGCAATATTCATAATTCATACCTATATCATGGTCCGTGAGACTCTTTTTTTGACCTACTTAATTTAAATAAAAGGGTTAAAATTGAAATTAGATGGAAAAAAACTCAAAAACTTCAAATGTATTTATATTACTCGATATACTATTATTGTAGGTACCTAAAATTAATTTTGGTTTAATAGTTGTAGAATGTGATGTGGAACTTGAAAGTGTTGGACAAATATCTAAAAATGATTTGAAGAATATTTTAGACTCAAAAGAAGATGGACAAGACACAACTAATACGTACACTGAAAATAATAACTCTTCTGATGTTAGCACTTCTACAGGTATACACTAGCTCAAATTTATACATATGTTAATAATATTTCAGTATTGTAAAATATTTTTTAATACCTATGTTTGTGATTTTAAGAATCTATTCAAATTCTATAATTACATTACACTTAATATAATTAAATTAATTTTGTTTTTATAGTTGTGGAATATGATGTGGGACTTGAAAGTGTTGGACAAATATCAGAAAATGAATTTAAAAGTATTTTAAACTCAAAAGAAGATGGACAAGACACAAATAATACATACACTGAAAATAATAACTCTTCTGATATTAGCACTTCTACAGGTATACACTAGCTCAAATACGTACATATGTTAATAATATTTTAATGTTGTTAAATTTTTTTTAATACCTAATATTTTTGATTTAAAAATTTCTATTTTATTCTATACTATTAATTATTATTATGTATATACTTTAATAATTTGTTTTTGATTTTTTTCTATTATTACAAATGTATTACTTTTATATTATGCTATATTATAATAAATATTTTAAAACTTATAGATTTGAATAGTATGCTGAATCTCCAAGATGATTTCCCAACAGACATAGCCAAATTTCCATGGACTATTACTGATGCAAATTTAATAAGAAGTTTGATTTTATATGGACCCTGTAAGCCAGATATTAACTTTCCAGTAAATAATAATGGTAAACGTTTTTCATCTAGTTATTATTTTCTAACAACTAAATCTGGTACAAAAATTCCAAGAACCTGGCTATGTTATTCTTATAACTTAGACTGTGTGTATTGTGAATCATGTTGGCTGTTTGCTGATAGATCTTATGGCAAATTTAAGTGGGATTGGATTTATGGTATTAATGATTGGAATCACTTGTCACAAAGTATTCAAAGACATGAATCATCTATTCAACATTTGGATGCTGCCAAAATTCGTTCCATTTGGGTTAAAAATGAAACCATTGACGCTAGTTTAGAAAAACAATATACTGATGAAGCAGTGAAATGGAGGAATGTATTGAAAAGGTTGATAAAAATTATACTTTCTATAACAGCAGGAAATTGTGCTTTAAGAGGGAATGAAGGAAGCCTAAAAATTAAATGTGCCACCGAAGGAAACTTTTTAAGAACAGTTCGATTACTCGCAGAGTTTGATCCTATTCTAAATGATATTTTAAATGATGAAAATCAAAAAATTAAGTATTTAAGTTGGTCTATTCAGAACGAGTTGTTAGACATTTTGTCTACAGAGTTACGTCATTTAATTTGTAATAAAATAAGATCTAGTAGTTTCTTTTCTGTTATATTAGACTCAACTCAAGACATAACCAAACAAGACCAAGTTAGTCTTGTAATTCGTTATACTACATTAGATTTTGAAAAGAAACAAATACAAATCAAAGAGTCGTTTCTCGGTTTTTATTTACTATCCCATCATGGTGCAGCAAATTATGTAGAACTTTTAAAAAATACATTAATGAGATTGGATTTAAATATTATGAAATGTCGCGGTCAAGGATATGACGGAGCAGCAGTGATGAGTGGTTCAATAACAGGCGTTCAAAAACAAATTTGTGATATTGTACCTAACGCTATATTTGTTCATTGCTGTTCTCACAATATAAATTTGGTTTTATGTGATGCTGCTAAAAGTACTAGAAAAATACAATCATTTTTTGATACTGTGCAAGACATCTACAATTTTTTTAGCTCAAGTTCGCCAAGATGGGCTCAGCTAGCCTTTGGTGAAGAGTACGGGAATAAAATAAATAAAATAACTTTAAAAAAAGTGTGTCCTACTCGATGGGAAGCAAGACACAATGCTTTATTTTCATTAAAACACAGATTTGTTGATGTTTTGAAATCTCTTTCTAATATCCAGCTTTCAAGTTCCAAAAAAGATGAAATAAATATGGCTACAACTTTAAAAAAAAAAATGGAAAATGCTGAATTTATAATTATTCTATGTATATGGGAACCTATTTTAAAATCCTTACAAGTGGTATCAAAGAGTATGCAATCAGTTAATTTAAGCTTACAAAAAGCATCAACACAATTAGAAAGTGCTATTTTAATTATAGAAAAGTTGCGGGATCAATATGACCAAATAATAAAAGATTCAAGGGAATTATGTATGAAGTGGAATATACCCTTCAAGTTAAGTGAAACTCGTCAAAGATATGCAAAAAAGTATTTTGATGAAGTAGACAGTGATCGCCGGCTTACTACAACTGATGATAATTTTAGAGTTACTATATTTTACCCAGTTGTAGACACAACACTATTACAATTAAGAGTTAGATTTAAAGGAATGAAAACTGTGTGTAATGATTTTATTATATTAATGCCTGAAATATTAACATCAATGTCTGACGAATTGATTGTTAAGTCATCATATGACTTTATTAACAAATATAAAGAAGATATCAGTTCTGATTTCACTCGTCAACTTATTATAATTAAAGGCTATTTATCTTCCAAATTTCAAACCAACTATTTAAAAAAATATGACAATTCACGATTTAGCTGATACTATTGTTAAGGAAGAGCTGACATCAATATTTCCTGATGTATTTATCGGTATTATAATTTTTTTGACTATACCAGTGACATCTGCTTCAGCTGAGAGATCCTTTTCAAAGCTTAAACTTATCAAAAATTACTTACGGAACTCCATCGGGCAAGAGAGACTTTCAAGTATAGCTTTGCTTAATATTGAAAGACAACAAACAAATGATATTAACATAGAAAATATAATTGACAATTTTGCCAACAAAAAGGCAAGAAAAATGAATTTTTTAAAGTGAGTGATGTTTTTTTTTCAATTTTTTAATTGACTGTTAATGTTAATGTTTACTGTGTTCAATTTATATGTTACCTACAATGTTGATAATTATTTATATTTAATATGAATTAAAAAAAGGTTACAAATTATTACATTTATTTATTTGTAAATATATACCTGTATGTGTTTTACTTATGTTAACCTTATTTTTGTTTATATTTGTATGAGCAAAAATCCAAAGTATGTTTTCAAATTTGGAAAAATTAATTTTCAAGACAGAGGGGAGGGGGCATTAATTTTATTTGCACACGGGCCCAAATTGGTGTAGTTGCGGCACTGGTCATGGGTGTAACGAGGGTGGGGCAGGGTATTGTTTAGTATTTTAAAAAATATTGTTGAGCATCTAATAAGAAATCAAAAAAATTATATTACCTATACCTTTTCCAAGCATTTGACCTTTTGAGGCCCCATAATAAATAGTTCGAAACCCGGAGCCCGTGTGCATTGCACCAACTGCACTTTTTACGGCACTGATTACAGTTTAATACATCAATTTATGGCTGCTGACTCATCTCATATACACCAGGTTTGGAGCCGTTTTTTTTTCTGCATCTTTAATTTTACAAATTACCCATACACCACAAGATTATAGCGCAGTGATGAATGAACTCGGAATCACGTCTCTAACAGATATAAGAGTTTGGTATTTTTACAAAACCTGATTAATGGACGTGTGAATGCTCCTGCTCTTTTCTCTCTAATATATTTTAAAGTTCTTTCTCACTCAACTAGGTCTAATTTTTCTTTTGTTGTCTCATTCCATAACCCAACTACAGTAGAAATAATCCCATTCATCATATGATGTGTATGGATAACAAGCACCATAGCTATTATATTATATATATTATACTATTATAACAATTTGTTTAATTACCACCATTTGAATATTGTTTATATGTTTTATTGTTTTATTTCATTTTCATGATTGTCTTATATTGTTTTTTATAATTATAAAAATTATTTTGTTTTATAAGGCACCTAGCCTAAATAAATACCCAATTTGTACCTATAATTTATTATAAGATTTAATATAAAAAATTATTATTTTTTAATTCATAAATTATAAGATTTTTATGATTTCGATATTTTTTTTCTTTTCTGTAAAATTTATCTCATTATACATATATTGAAAATTTATATTGCCTATTTGAATTAATAATAAATAAAAAAATAAATATTTGTAGCCAATGGTATAACAATATATAGTCAACATATCAATACCACAATAGCAGAAACTATGTTACTGACATTTCAAAGGGTAAAATAGTAAGTTATAACAAGATTTTAACAGTTAATTAATTAATACAATATATTTATTGAAAATTAATTTGAGGTTGAAAAAAAACAAATCAATTTATAACCACATAAATAAAATTGTTTTGACATTTGAACCAAAATTATTTGAATTAAGATAATTAGTCAATTGTTTAGATAAGGAAATAGATTTAATACATTACGCAACATAAGTAAAATAATAATATAAAATGCAATATTTTAATTGAAGCATCAAATGTTGTTAAAATTATATTTCTAACTATTTCTAAGGATACATTTATAAGTGCTTTCATTTTTTTTCTTTTAATTATATATAATGAGTAATTAATAAGACTATAACCCAATGTAAAATATACTGTTTTTAATAATTTAGTATTAAAAATGTATAAAAAATTATTGCGAAAAAAATATTTGTAACTATAACAATATTAATGTATACTAATACATAGAAACACCTCAAATTAATTATATGTGATAAATTATATATATATAAAATAAACAAATTTTCAAAATGTTTTCCATTAATATTCGTCATGGAATGGGTAATCCTTAAATTTTTTGTTCCTGAAAAAAAAAAAAGTAAAAAAAATTGAATAAAATTAACCTACTAAAATTTATAAACTAATTTTACTTTTAAAAAACAAATACTAATTTGAAGTGTTCCAATTAAGATGAAGAACTCTGCCATTACAATCAAAAGTATCAATTTCTAGCATATCATTTTGTTCCAATGTAAAGTCCCATACATCAAAATTGGATTCAATGCGACTTTTGGTCACAGATTTCGGAATAACTATGATACCTCTCTGTATCTGATATTTAATCAAAACTTGAGCAGCACTTTTATTATATTTTTTACCAATGGCTAAAATTTTTGGATCATCTAAAAGTGATGGATCATCTGGTTTAGCCCAAGGTCTATCTGGAGATCCCAAGGGACTATAAGCAGTCAAAATAATATTATGTTGAGCACTAAATTCTTTTAATTTTTTTTGGTTCAAGTACGGATGACATTCAACCTAATTTAAATTAATTAAATTGTAAGTACTTCTAAAATATTTTAATTTATGTATATTTGTTTTATTATCTAAAATACAAACTTGATTAGTCACTGGCTTCACTGTAGCTATATTTAATATGTCTTCTGTTTGTTTTTTATTGAAGTTGGATATACCAATTGACTTGGTAAGACCTTGGTGGACCAATTTTTCCATTGCTTTCCATGTTTCTATGTACGAACCAGTTCCTTCAATTGTGACTCCTTCAGCAGTTTTTGGAAACCAATCGTCTTCTAATTTACCTTCCTAATACCATGGTAATTAATTAATGATCCAAATATCAATATGTAAAATGTATTTTATTATAAACCTACTTTAAAAGCCATTGGCCAGTGAATCAAGTATAAATCCAAATAGTCAAGTTGTAAATCAGATAAAGTTTTTTTAATTACTGTTTCAACATAATCTGGCTGATGAAAAATGTTCCACAACTAAAAGTATAATGTTTATTAGTTTTATTTTATGCAAATCAGTAAATATTTTATAGCCTTACTTTACTAGTAATAAATAAATTTTCACGTTTAACAACTCCTTCATCAATTTTTTGCTTAATAGCATTTCCAACTTCTTTTTCATTTTCATATACCATAGCACAATCAATATGTCTGTATCCTGCATCAATGGCAACTTTGACTGCATCTTCGACTTGACCAGGCTTTGACTGCGAACGTTAATATAGTTTTAGTAATGTTTAGAAAACATCAGAATTATGAATAAGTACATTCAAAACTTATTGAATTATATTCAGAACTCAAATTAAGTTAACTATTTTAAAAAAAATATAAAAAATAAATATAGTCAGTTTTGGCGGGTCAAAAGACAATGTGATATAAAATGTAGCTACAAATCCTTATTAAATTATGAGCATTTTAGTTTAAAATGTATAAAAATATTTGTGTTGTTAAAATAAGCATTATTTTATGGTTTGTTAATTCAACATTATCAAATACATATCAGGTATTCATTACATTTAAACTAAAAAAAAATAAAAAAATAATTTCAAATTTACTTATACATTATGTATACATACACCAGAAATTAACAAGACACTATTACATTTGGTACATTTCTAGACTAATAAGCAAAAGTAAATAAAACACCTGTGCATATGAATTTGATTTGGGCAAGATTGAATATTTTGTTGATCGAATCTACATTTTTTTGATACTGCAGAGCCTGGTAAATTACATTGGATTAAAGTGATGAGGTTCGTCCATTGTATAAGAACAATGTACGGTCAACACTCTACGCGTGCCTAGCTACCTGCTACCAGTGCTGGATTGAGGAAATTTGACGCCCGGGGCTAAAATAAAAATGCAGCGTCCTTACGTACGTTTAAATACGGGGTGGGTTCATGACTTAATTATTTCTCATAAGTTTAAGAACGCTTTTATACCAATAGCACCTGGGGCAAACAAACCCATTTGGTTAATTACCTTCCAAGTTCCGAATCCCAAGATTGGACATTTCAGGCCGTTGTTGAACGTGACGAATTGATTCTTCGAAGCCATCGCGTTACGAGAATTTGCGTACGGGAAAAGCGCAAACAGTGGAGATCACCACGGTGGGAAACACTGACGTGGTCGGTCAGTAAACAACTTTTTTTATTATGTTCGCAGAGAGAAGAGGGAGCGAAGATGGTTGCTCAACGCAAATTCACCGGCGGCAGAACAGCTAATAGTCGTACGAAGACGAAAGAGTCACGACAACGAATAAGGCTCTTGACGAGTCAACCGTTTGCGTACACGTAAACGATATTTATTATTTAAATATATATTCAGGGGCGTAAGACTATTATTAATCATAATTATTATCGCGCGCCGGCAGCCGTTTCGCTATCAGCTCGGTTCGGTTGGTGCCGGGAGGGGATGGGCGAAGGTCTCCTTTTTTTTTTTTTTTTATTCCGAACGAAGACCACCGATTGGGTGTTGCCAACGTTCGAAATTAAGTGTTTTATTTTTAAAAATATTATTATTGTTATTTCATTCCGTCGAGGTGAAGCACTAAGGTTTACAGCAGGGATTCCCAACCGCTGTGCCGCGGCACACAAGTGTGCCACGAAATTATTCAGGTGTGCCGTATAATTTTTGTAATTTTATAATTTTTTAAGCATAACTAAATTTGATAATCAAAATTATAATTTATATTTATAATAGCATTGACTTAAAAATTCCCTTGAAAATAAAAAATAATAAAATGTTCTGATGAAACAACTATAATATTATATGGGATCCTATACTATCCGATACGGGTATTACAAGCAGTTGCGTTGACTTTTACCACATACTAAAATTACTGCATGAAAACATAGCCGATGCTCATTATAATGAAAATTGAGCGCGTATAATTGTTACGCATTATACTGTATAGGTATTTTGATCAAGAAATATTGTAAGTTAAATTTAAAAATGGATAGATTTTTAAAAAAGCATAAATTAACAGATGACAGTGATGTTAGTGCAAATGACAACAATTTAAATATTGAAATTTAAAATTAAACAATCAGCTTTAATAAGTGATAAAAGTTTAAATTTAAAAATTAAACGTAATTATGTTGATAATTATTTCTGTTTTGGATTTACGTGGAATGGTGACATTGATTATCCTTTAACAGTTTGTATCGTTTCAACAGTTTCACCCGTATTAGAGGAATTATGTAAAAAACACCAGTCTCATGTGTCAAATTAAACTTGTATTATATATATTATATTAAAATAATTATTTTATAGTACATTATATATAATTATGATATTATGTATATTGATTATTATTTATTTAAGTGTGCTGTGGAAATTTTTAAAATTATCAAGTGTGCCGTTAAGTAAAAAAAGTTGAGAATCCCTGGTTTACAAGTAATACGTTTATTATTTGTAAACCTTAAGTGGAGACCACTGGTGGACAGTAAATACTACAAACAGCCGACTCCCTGTAATACCTTTAGATAATAGAATATTCTATTATCTATGATTATCCCTACCGGTGGTGCCGAGTCTTTTTTGACCGTTTAAACTGGAACGAAGTTTACCTAATTACCTACACCCATCCACCTACACGGAAACGTTTGAACCAAATAATAATAACTTATTCACAACAATAATGTAATAAATGAACAACATAATATTAGTCAGTGGTGCCGCTTAGCTTAAATTAGCAACACTGGACAGCGTAATGCGTTTACGCGCAAGATGACTTGAGCGCGATAAAAACCATAGACCTATTAACTAAATTAATTAGTTAATAGGTCTATGATTAAAACAGAATCAAAAGTTCACGTAACGTTTTAGTAGGGATGGGAATTCCAACTCATTCTGCCGAACTGAATCTTTCAACTCAGTTCAGTGTAATGAGTTGAATCAAAGAGTCGACTCCCAAATCCTTGTTTGAATAAGATTACCACTACTCTAATCAACTCTTCAAGTCTCGACTCTTGATTCGATTCACAAGTTCACAGTCCATATTAATGAATAGCTTATCGCATATGAAACTAATTATGACTATAAGCGTACAATGTTAAGAATTTTTCTTAGAAAGACAGAAATCTTGTTTTAAAAAAAAAATGGAAATATTACTAACCAGGGCTCGGAAGTTGTAGCACTAAAAATTTTATTTTTAAGCTCTTAAATATGCACTTAAAAACTCTAAAATATGCGCTATAAATAGCAAAAAAAATCAAAAAATATGCATTATGTTGAAAAAAATTATAAATTTATTATAAAAAAAAATTAAATGTAATTTTACAAATATTTGGGCATGTAGACGTTTGGAGTGATTGAATTATAAACTTAACAAAAATATTAAATTAATTGAATATATTTGTAAAAATTTACTTATAATTAAATGACTGTATTTAGTCACTAACTATTAGTACATCGAATTGTCGATGAAAAAATAAAATAATAATTGATGATCTCTATTTATTTCCAATAATTCAAATATTTTTAAAACTAAAACTAATTAAATCATTATTATCAGCAAAATGTGATTATTTCCTGTATTATGTGAAAATATACCCAGAAATAGCACTAAAACCCTAAATTAGCAAAATAGCAATAAAACCCGTAAATATGCAAAAAAAAAGCAATATTAAATTTTGTGTATGATATCCAAATAGTTTGAAACATATTTGTATCTTGCTTTGGACGTTCTAGGATGAATCAAGAAAAATATGAATTTGCTAGAAGTTCTGAGCCCTGTTAATAAACAAATCCGAGGGGAACTATTGTTTAAGTTAGTATTACATTTTTCGTTTGGATTCGCAAATCGTTATCAAGGGAGTCGAGAATTGAGAGTCGAGAGTCGTGTATCTATAGTAGTACAGTTGTGAGTGGTATGTTCAACTGAATCAGTGAGTCACTGAGTCGCCAACTCTTGTAACACTGATTCGACTCGTCCAATTCATTTTTAAGAGTCGACTCATTGAGTCGACTAGCTCATGAACTACACATGCCCTACGTTTTAGTAGTGTTCTGTGAAATAACTAAAAACGTGGAACATCCGAAAATGAAAGAGTTGGCAGTTAATCGCACATGCACGTATAGGTTTTTACGTGTGTACTCACAGGAGGGCGACAGGACAATACGAAACAGGATGTTTTTGCGTCCTTTTTGCAGCAGCACTAGCAACGATGCCGTCGTTCACATTCACGTGACGCGGCACACAGGTGACGGTGTGTGTGCACGGTCGCGATGCGGTGAGCAAAAATTGTATATAACCGAAAAAAAACAACTTCGGAATAGTGGTGACACAATATATATATATATATATATATATATTTAGACACAAAGTTAAAGAAAAGAATGAAATAATAATAATAATAATAATAATAATAACAACATACACCGCACAAAGATGTCACAATAGAACAAAGTAATGTAAGTCGAGAACGTGTGAGTTGTGTCTCGGTACAGGATCTCGGAAAAACAGCACGGTTACGTGGTGGTACCTGTCGGACGTCGTAGCGACCGCTCGCGTCCCCTGTCCGGTGATGGATGGGAGGACGGCGTGTCGCGGAATGATGGTTGATGAGAGAGATAAGGACACGGTCGGCGACTGCCGTTTCGGTAACGGCTGCCGCACGGGTCCGCGTCACACGAACCCTTTGCAGTTAGCCAAAAACAAGTACATGATCAATAAATGATTTTTTATCGCACCCGACCCTATACACCAGTGTATTTTTTAATCTACTTAACTAGGCTACACAAATGTTGCCCAATGAAAATATTTTGTCACCTACAGTTGATGGTATTTATAAATCACGTAAAAAAAAAAAAAAATTAGGTATTGTACGACTGATAAATTTGTGTTTACTTGTAATATAATATCTTGTCATACTATGGATGTTTACTTTTTCTATCAGCTTTGAGATTCATTTTTAATAATTAAGCGGAGCGAATGGGAATACCATATAAAATACATTGACTATTTCGAAATTTCGGAGGCGGTTCGAGTATCCCTTTTAACATACCTACGTGAATCTCCTCCCGTAGTGTAGAACAAAACACAATAAATTTATTATATAGTTAATCAAATCGTATTTTAGATTACCTACTCTACTAAATGGAAAATTACCAAATGGGTCATCCTTTCAACTTTAAAGCCATTTATATTTAACGAATAGAACAAGCATCAAATATGTATATATTTTCGTTTTTAGGTGATCGATGTAGTCGATTTCGGCAGGGTCATATTTATTATTAAGTAGGCTGAACAACTGTCTATGACCCTCCGTAATTACAGGGTCTCGGATTTTTGTGAACTTTTTTTTTCTTTTTTTAGAATACAATTTTTATCGTATAAAATAAATATAAGTGTAGTAAAATATTTAAGAAAAAATTTAAATTATTTATCCTTATCAGCTTAAAATTCTACTTTTTTTATTTCGCCAAGGACTTCAAAATACCAATAAGACTGAATTTCGGTGTGCAGTAACGAGTAGAATTATTTTTCCATTTGAGGAAGAATGCATTTTTTTTCATTAACCCCTATAAATTATAAGCATTTTGTTAAGAAGCTTATGCAAAACATTCTGTCCATTTTTGGTGAACATGACAGCCACCTTGACGTTTTGGTGGAATTGGTTAAGTGGAAATACTTGTAAAATAGTAAGAGGTATGAATGTCTACCTACCAAAAAATAACATACACCAGCAACCTGATTTTCAAGTGATCCAATCATTGACGCTATTTTAGTTTTTGATAAGAGGTGTGGCATAAGTTTTGATCATAAGATACAACTGGAAGAAAACTACTCGATTCGCTCGCACGTTTTCATTTATTTTATAGGGTACTATCTACATTTTGTACAGAATAATGTTTATATGTCTAAATTGAATGCAAACATTTAAAAATATTGTTACAATTTTATTTTAAAGTTACTCAAGCTATAAGTGGGTATTCACTAATTTTTTATTTTTGAAAATAAATCCACTGTTTCATCTAAATTGTTTCGTATGTCAATATTACTTTCAATAGTACTAACAGGTACTTGTATAAAACAGCTTATTACTACCCATTATAGGTATAGTTCTTGTATACTCATAATAATTATTGTAAATAATTATTATTATTACTTACTATCAATGGAATAATATATTAAATAAACTTTATAATAATTATTATAATCGATGTCGAATATTTCATGAATTGAATAATTTCTAATAAAATTTGGATTAAATTAACTTTTCAGTATTACACATAGTAATATACTAATAATTTATAACATATTATAATTCAGTATTCGTCGTTAAATGGATAATCCTTAAAATGCATGTTCCTAAAAAATAATATATAAATTAATATTTTTACAATACAAACATATCATACAAGACACGAAAATACAATACATTTATGTATAAATCATAAATGTATTGTAAGTAGTTTAACTTAGTACGCCATACCCTTTCATATGCACAAAACGGGCACCGCAATCGTAAATATCAATCTGATCCATATCTTCTTGTTCGAGTTCAAAATCCCACACGTCGAAGTTTGACTCGATCCGATTTTTGGTCACAGATTTCGGGATCACCATAACGCCCCTTTGAATTTGATATTTTATTATAACTTGAGCAGCACTTTTACTGTACTTGTCAGCGATTTCTATGATCTTCGGGTCTTCTAAAAGAGAATGGTCTTCTGGTTTTTTCCAAGGGTTATCCGGACTTCCGAGTGGACTGTACGCCGTTAGCACGATACCTTGTTCTTCACAATATTTCTTTAACTGATTTTGGTTTAAATATGGATGACATTCAACCTATTAGAATAATAAATAAGACGTGTTTTATGATTAGTTGAACATAAATATATTATAATTGTTAAAAATATGTTCTCAACCGAATCGTTGAAAAGCCATACTTGATTGTTAACCGGCTTCACTGTAGCGACGCTCAATATGTCTTCTATTTGTCTTTTGTTAAAGTTCGACACACCAATTGATCGGACGAGGCCGTTCTCTACCAATTGTTCCATTGCTTTCCATGTTTCTATGTACGAGCCGTTACCTTCTATGGTGGCACCATCGTCGTCTTTGGGAATAAAATCATCATTTAATCCACCTTCCTATTTTTATTTACACAACCGTTGCACAATACAAACATCAATATTGTTATAAGTACCCATACTGTTGAAAATCGATCTACATACTTTAAAAGCCATAGGCCAGTGAATTAAGTATAAATCCAAGTATTCAACTTGTAAATCCGATAAAGTTTTTTTTCAACACTGTTTCAACAATTTCGGGTTGATGGAAGATATTCCACAACTGAAGGGAAAATAATTTTGTTTTAGAAAAAAAAAAAATCTTTATTAATTCATGCTTAGTTCAAACATATGATTACTTTACTAGTTATGTACAAATCCTCCCGAGCTACCACGCCTTCGTCGATTTTCTGTTTAATGGCATTTCCTATTTCTTGTTCGTTTCCGTAAAACATTGCACAATCAAAGTGCCTGTAACCCGTGTCGATCGCAACTCTAACAGCTTCTTCCACTACGCCTGGTTTTGACTGCATAGTTACAATATAAAACACAAAATAATCGATCGAACTCGAAATAAATACGAAATAAATTGTTAATTTTTTTTTTTGTTATAAAACAATAAATTGCATATGAATTTGATGAATGAGTATTAGCATCTACTTCGCGTCGGTCTGACTTGAAAACGTTTATTACTTGAAACACGTTCAGGCGGCCATTGCATATTATTTCCAACAAAGCATAAAATAATACTAACGAATATTATTGTTTAAAATTATTTAATGTGTAATACAGTTTATATACAGTATAATGATATAATATGGAGACTCATTACTATTTTTAAAATCTCGATAACAGGCGCGCCTAGGCGTAGGGGGCAACTGGTCAACAATCCTTACTATCATTTACTGAAACGCGGTTTCAACAAACAATTTAAAATGGGACGCGATTTACAGAGACCCTTTACGGGTTTGACAATGTATTGTTGTTTTCAATATTATACAAGAGACTTTTTTTTGGGATCCGTCTTGTATTAGTTTTTTTTTTTATTATTTCACTAAAGTATGAAATTATTTTTCAAATAAAAGTTAGTAACCTTGCTTCGACATCTCTAGATGAGGTCCAAATTATTACGATTACGAATACTTCCTCTTTTGACTTTTCAATTTTCATACAAGTTCTTTGTGAAGCTATTTTGACTTGTATCATCATTAATCATCATTAAAACATGAAAATATATCATTTTCAATTCCATACTGTTTTCTAAAATAGAGTATATTTTTTCTATTATCATAATAATACTCTAATTTTGCGACCTACTTTTTTTGAATTGTCACTGGAAAATGATTTGAAAAAATAAACAAAAAAATGTTTAAGATAAATAATATCAACTGCTACAACATAAATTTAATTATGTTTTTCAACCTCTTTATCCCATACATAATTTCGGTTTTTTTTATTATGCAATTATAGAATGGTCTACGCTTAAGCTCAGGGCCATATTACGGCTTAGGCTATTTAGGCTAAAGCCTAGGGCGGCAAATTTTAATGGTCGAAATGAAATAGCAAATGTTTGAGTTGAGTTTGAGAAATTTAGAGTTTTATTTATTAATAATATAGTAGGAAAACATAAATTATTAGTGTTATGTTTTTACTTTATTATTGATCATTTTTTTGTAATATAGGACGTGGGGTTTTTTTACTAACTTTTAGAAGTGAAATATCAATACGTAAAGTAGTTGGTAAATTTATTTCAGCCTATGGGCCGCATAAACCTTAATCCGTCCCTGCTTAAGCTTATTATTGTACGAATATAATATGTTTATTCACAACAGGTTTTTTTCTTTTGAATATCCAAACAATTGTTCTTTATTTAAAATATGTATGCCTTATTAAAGGCAGTGGTGAAGCGTGAGTATCGGCTGTCCGGGACGGAAGACAATTTTGCCACCCTCTTAATTAGGTATTTCTATTTAATGTATACCATATATGATATACATTAATTCTAAAGAACTTTTCGGCAAGAACAGTCATCATTATTTTGAATTATACTGGTTGAATTTTAAATAAAAAAGTTTATTTGTTTTACAATCACATTTATTAATACAAAAATTCTTTCTTGAAACATTGATAAAACAGGTACAAAGGCATAGACACAACAAGGGGGGGATTAACTAGGGGGATTAGTTCCCCCATAAATATTCCATGCTATACATGGCATACTGCAAACAGCTTAACTTAACTCACAATAGTGTCACATACAAAAAGACACATTGCAGTAAATCCAACTAAAATACCTATATTAACATGGTATATAAGAGTAGGGGTAATCTACAGATTATCTTAAGTTTTCATATTAGGGCTTTAGCCCCCTCCCCCATATAATTTACCTTAGTTACGCCTATGCACAAAAGTATTATTTAATCACGCAATCGTCGAGGTGAACCCTAATTTTAAGTAGGTAATATAACCTACTTATAGATACTTATACTTATTATAACTATCTTATTCCGCCTCAATTTTTTTCTTTTCATTTTCAATGCTAAAATAAAAAAAAAATTGTAATGATAAAAGTTAGAGTTACAAAAGAAACTATTGAACATTTCAAAAACTTAGTATATTTTACACGACATCTATCTATAGGTAAAAATCTGAAAATCGTAAATATTTGTTCGGAACCCTGAGTATGTGAGTGTAAAACTCGTATATGACCGGATTTTAATAAATTAAAGCTTGAACAACATATCAGACAGTTCAACATACGAGTTAATATTGTTTAGTTGTAATTTTTTTAATTATTGTTTTTGTAATTTGTTTCATGTTATCATTTTCGTGCGATGCGTAGCGGTACGTTGCGTATCCGCAGCCCTTGTCGGCGACGGTGATAAGACTCCGTGTATGACCGGCCGGGTACGTAATCGCGCTGTTATCATCGCATGAAAATGTCGTAATTCCAAGTTTTCGAAAAATTTTCGGTTATGTTTTTTTAAAAGTAAAAGTTTCAAGTCATGCTCTCATTGCCACAAAGTTTATTAATTTCGAGTGTTTTTCAGTTTTGTGTGGTGGCACTGAGGCATTTTATCTTCATTATGGTGTCCAGCGACCAGAGCCTTCGTGATGAATGTCGTCGGCACAGTCGGTTTGTCGTTTTTCTGTCTTCGTGATGTGCACACCGAAATTCATTGTTTGTCAGTGTTTGTAAATTTCACGTTTTTTTATTACATTCATTTTTTGATTGCATTCTTCGTTGGTGATTGTGATTTGGTGGTCGCACGTACCGGACTGTGACATTTATTATTTTGTATAATTTTTAAACACTGCGGTGTGCCGTCATAGGTAATTTTCGTCACAGATCTGGTGCGGTCGCGTCGGGATAAAATCCGCCATCAATTACAGTCATCTGATGTGAGTATTGGTCGACCATATTTGTTTATTTTTATTATTGTATAAAGGCCGACGAGCCTTGCCGTCATAGGCAAATTATTATTATAAATTTAATTATTATTTTGCGTGCGCCATGTGGGCCACGTATTAAATTTTGTATTGCGTGCCGTGTGAGCCGCATATTATTTATTTATATTTATATATTATTATTTTTTTATTATTTATATTTATATTATTATTTTTCCATTATTTATATTTATATTTATTGCATTGTGCCAATCAGGCTACATAACATATTTTATCAAATTATACAGTCCACTACAAATTTACTTATTTATTTACTTAAAATATATTTATTTAATTAATTATTTATCATACAGTTCGCTCTATTATTGTCACTGTGTAATTAATCATTTATACGTATTAGTTAACGCGGCCCTTTCTCGCGATCATTATCACATCAGGAAGGTCAGGTACATCCAGATGAGCTACATATTTTTAAACATACTCAATGCAAGATATAAGAGCATAATTTTATTCGACTCCGAAAAATACGTATAAGTTATCGACAATGAGGTATCGTGATGAAAATGTTTTGGTTATTGAATCAAATATGTCGAAAGGGTGTCGGGTGTTACTAAATCAAATGGATTTCTTAACTCTTCAGAGTCTTGAGTCGAGCAAAACGATAGAGTTAAAAAAATATATATACTCTACCTATAGTGATTCGACAGTTTAATAAAATAACCAAATGTATGAAAAAGATATTCAATCAACCCATTACCGTAGAAGATATGACTAAAAAATGTTTCGGCAGATAATGGTAGTGCCAGAATATTGCCACTTACAAAGGATACTTTGGCGTGTAACTTCAAATGAAATGCTTTGAACCTACAATTTATTGACAATTACATATGGAACAACGCCCGCATCCTTTATGGCAACGCAATGTTTGATTATGCTTGCTGAAGAAGTAGATAAAAAGAATCAAAAAGTGGCAGAAGTAATAAGCAGGGACTTCTACATGGATGATTTAAAGACAGGCTGTGATAAGATAAAAGAATGTATGCAGTAACAAAGGCATATAACAGCCATTTTAGAATCTGCAAAACTACTATTAAGAAAGTGGTGTTCAAATTCGCATTTGTTCATTGCCAACATAAGTGAGAGCCAAAAGGATCCTTTTTTCGCTTTGAATCTAGGTGATGATACTGTTAAGTCATTAGGACTATGCTGGAAACCAGCACTCGATCAGTTCAAGCTTAATATTTCGATGCCATCATATAGAGTAATACTGACCAAGAGAAAGTTGCTATCAGAACTAAATAGAGTGTTCGATCCATTAGGATTCTTGGGTCCAGCTCTCATCAAAGGAAAGATTTTTCTTTAATATCTCTGGCAGCAAAAAATTGAATGGGATGCGCCACTACAGGCAGATATCTAAGAAAAATAAAGAAAGTATTACTCTAGACTGGAGTTACTTAAGGAACTTTGTATTCAACATAAGTGCAAGTTCCAGTCTGGTGCCCAATTTGAAGTGCATGGATTTTGTGATGCATCAATAGAAGCTTATGGAGTATGCATATACATACGGAGTTCAGATCATCAAGGAATATGGCATTCACGGTTGCTTTGTTAAAAAACTAAAGTAGTACCACTCAAGTCAGCAACTATTCCAAGACTAGAACTAAGTGAAGCACTTCTCTTAGCTCAGTTAGCAGCTAAGGTAGCAGACTCTTGGAGCATAAAGTGTGAAACTATTTATTTGTGGACGGATTCAATGATAGTATAAGGGTAGCTTAACAGCCATTCATCACGATTAAAGACATTTGTAGTTAACCGTGTTAATCAAACACTAGAAATAACAAGAGCTAAACAGTGGCATCATGGTTGGTAAGATGTGCTCAAAAGGATGAATTTGTATAGGAACTTAAAGCGCTAACCATTGGTAAGGAACTGCCAAAAAACCGTAAGATACTAGGACCATGTCTATTTATCAGTACAGACAATCTAATTGTGATCGGAGAAAGACTACATCATTCAACACTTTCTAATGAACAAAAACACCCGATGGTTTTACCATTTGGTCATAAGGTTCCGCAGTTAATTTTTATATACTATCATGAAATACTTTTACATGGAGGGC